GGGGGCGGGGCAGCGCTGCAGGCGCCCGGACCAAGGGCTGGGGGTCTTCGGGGTTGGTGCGCTTCCCGGATCAGGGGCTGGGGGGTCGGGATTAGCACCGAGATTAGGGGCTAGGGATCATTTAGGATCGCCCCCTTCCTTCAGGCACCCAAATCAGGGGCTGGGGGGGCGGGGTCAGGCACCTGGATTAGGGGCTGAAAATCATCAGGGTCACTCCCTTCCTTCAGACACCCAGATCAGGGTCTGCAAAATCAAGGTCACCCCTTCAGGCACCTGGATCTGGGGCTGGGAGATTAGGGTCGCCCCTTCGGGCACCCGGATCTGGGGCTGCGGTATGGGGGTCACCCCTTGCAGGCACCTGGGCTAGGGGCTAGAAGATCAGGGTCACCCCTTTAGGGTCTGGGCATCATCAGGGTCACCCCCTTGCTTCAGGCTCCTGGATCACGGGCTGGGAGATCAGGGTCACCCCTTCAAGCACCCGGATCTGGGTCTGGGAATCAGGACTGCCCCCTTCCTTCACGGGATCTGGATCAGGGGCTGGGAAACTAGGCACTTGGATCAGGGGCTGGGGTATTGGGGTCACCCCTTGCAGGCACCTGGATTAGGGGCTAGATCAGGGTCACCCCTTGAGGCACCCGGATCAGGGTCTGGGAATCATCATCCTTCATGGGATCTGGATCAGGGGCTGGGAATCAGAATTGCCCCCTTCCTCCATGGGATCTGGATCAAGGGCTGGGAAACTAGGCACTTGGATCAGGGGCTGGGGTATTGGGGTTACCCCTTGCAGGCACCTGGATTAGGGGCTAGGAGATCAGGGTCACCCCTGCAGGTGCCTGGATCAGGGCTGGGGAATCATTAGGATCGCCCCCTTCCTTTGGACACCTGGATCAGGGGCTGGGAGATCAGGGTCACCCCTTCAGGCACCTAGAAAGCCCTGGGGATTCCCATTAAAATGGGCTAGGCAGTTGTCCTGGCTTCATGGCTCTTCTCCCCACTCCTGCTGATCGCCTCTGGGTGAACAAGGCTGCAGGACACCCCAGTGCCATGCTCTGCCCAGCCCCCAGCCGCAGCGCAGGTCTCCAGGGCTTGGTTGCATGAGGGGCTGACGGTCGCCTGGCTTCGCTGGGCCCCACGTCCTGCGGGGTTGGGCCCTGGCAAAGAATTGATTCACCCCCGCTGAGCCCTGGGGTGGCTGGAGACGGAGCCTGAGGGCCAGCCCGAGAAGAGCTGGAGTAAGGCTTCAGGGCTCGCTGCCAGGTGGAGCCCAGCAAAGATCAACCCCTGCTCTCATAAGAGTCCTAAAGAAGTGGGGCTGGAAGGACGTCCAGAGGCCACCTCGTCCAACCCGCCGCAGGATTGTCCCTGTCCAAAGCATCCTGTACAATCCAACCTCTAAACTCTACATAAAATGCGACTGTCGACCCTGACACAACGCAGACCTCGCACCCGAACCTGCCCCAGGCAAAGCAGGGGGACCACGGCAGCTTCCGTCCGGCTTCTGTGCTCAAGAGATCCCAGGTAGAGGCTACGGTCCCTGCTTTGGAAAGCAGCTCCCCTTCCCCTCCCAGTCCCTACCAATCTGACCAAGGGGTAAAATTCCTGATCCCAAATACAGTGTCTGTCTGACCCTGAGTGGAGGGGAAAGACCCTCTAGCCAGGAATCTCTGGCTTTGGTCTCAGCAGGAGCATTGGCACGGCCCAGTCCCCGTCCCCAGCCTTGATCCTTTTGTCCTCCTGGAGGAGTCCCATCTCATTAGCAACTTTCTGTATCAAATGACCAGTGGGATGGGTACAAAGAGCTGGAAGAGGAAGGTGAAGAATGAGGAGAAAGAGGGTGAGGGATGAGCGGCGATGGCAAGCGATAATGTCCTTTAAGCCTACAGTCTCCCATGACCCAAGAGGTCTGGGACCCCAAATAGAAATTGCTTTAAATGGCGAGCCTCGTCCCTCTCTTCACTGGAGCCAGGGACCACATCACAGTTCTGTGTCCTGGGGAAGATCCTGCTCCCTGGCTCTCCCGGACCTGCTCCCCGGATTCCTCGTTAGGGATCGCTGTCAACAGGTGAGGGAGACCATTAACAGCTAAGGAAATCCTGCTAAGTCCCTCAACTTCCCCCCAGGCACTGCCTGAGCTCCGAGGGAAATCATGGAAGGGGCAAATTCTGCTGCAAATAATAAAAGGAAGAGGCCAAACCTCCTCTCATTTGCACAGAGGCAAATTTGGCCTCGGGTCACTGAAGGCAACGAGGCAGATCATTTTTCCCCCTCCAACGTCATACTTGTGTGGCTGAGAGCAACATTTAATCCTACATGCTCCTAAAAATAAACACCATTTTTCAACATACCTGGAGCATGAAGAGAAGGAAAAGAGAATGAAGAGCGGGGAAGGAGCAAATGTGTGTCGGTGAAAATGCAGGATGTGGCCCTACGGTGAGGGCACGAGTGGCTGGGGCTTGCACACTGCTACGGACAGGGATTTAACCTGGATGGAAAAATGAACACCGCACATCCTGCTAAGATATAGAGATCCTGGGTATATAGAGATCCCTTCCAGCTGCAGAAGATCACAGAAGGGGCTCCTCTGAATTGCAGTGGATTGAGATTTGACCACACGTCTATGTTTTCCTTTCAAGTACAGTGAGATCAAGCAGCATCCGCCTTTCCACAGCGTAACCTCAGGAATTGGGGTGAAGAGACAGGAACAAGGGCACCAGCTGCAGATGGCATTATGGGAAGGATGGGAATGGCAGACTAAAAAACAGACAACCAATGACCTGCTAACAAAGAAAAATGGCCATGAATCCGGGGGGGGGGGAATACACACACACACACACACACACACACACTCTCTCTCTCTCTCTCTCTCTCTCTCGCTCTCTCTCTCTCTCTCTCTCTCTCTCGCTCTCTCTCTCTCTCTCTCTCTCTCTCGCTCTCTCTCTCTCTCTCTCTCTCTCTCGCTCTCTCTCTCTCTCTCTCTCTCTCTCGCTCTCTCTCTCTCTCTCTCTCTCTCTCGCTCTCTCTCTCTCTCTCTCTCTCTCTCGCTCTCTCTCTCTCTCTCTCTCTCTCTCTCTCTCCCTCTCTTGTTCTTGGCCAAGAACAAGGCCGTATATATTACTAAAGAAGGAGGGAAATTTGCAATCATGCTGATGGCAGCAGTCTACAAAACTGTTGGGTCTGATCCTCCCACATACTAAGCACCTTCTACTTTAATTGACTTTAATGGGAATTTCTCTTAATTCCTACTGCCTTCCATATCGTGTGAATTGTGGCATTCCCTACTGTAATAAGCTAGCGTAAGGCCCCGATGCTGTCAAAGACACTATGCTTGCAGGGCCAGGGCATTGAACTGCATAGGGATAAGCCACATTTCATCATTAACGTGCAGGCTGGTGCTTTTCAGCAATTACTACATAACTGCATGCTGGCCTGCTAAGACCACGTCAGATGTGGCAGCCGATTTTGAAATGATGGGCATAATCGTAACTGATTTATGAACAAAGTCCTATTCATTTTCAGGTGGAACATGCTTTCTTCTTCATTTATTTTTTACTGCGCTTGTCTATTTTTTTGCAAAACTCAGTTGTTCACAATGGCCACCCCAGTCTTTCAGACCTGGCGGGGTTCCAGTGCTATAGCCCAGCTTTCAGAACTGCAATCTTCTTCTCCCTTTGCAGGCCAACCTCTGATTTTCAGGTAGGCTGAGACTCAGATATGCTTTTTCCATGTGTGTAGGTGCAGAAATGCAGGTGCAGGTTTCAGTCTAAAGTGCTGAACTAGCACAGTGCACTGACATTGCAGCTAAACCGTGTGATCTAACTGTCCCGATGGTTCATCTATACATTTAAGTCCATGTAGAGGGGTTTTCCCCACCTCTTCTGTAGAATAGATAAGGTCATTTTTAATTCCTTCCCAGCGCTGGCATAAACTCCTTTATTCTCTAGCCTTCTAAAGCAGTGAGTAACCTTAGTACCAACAATATATGCTGGGTTTTGTGTTTGTGAGCATGAAATGAGTGTTTTTAATTTTCAGCCCAACAGGGGGAGGTAGCTGCATCTAAAATGGGCAAATCTGTGCGCAGGCATGCACACACACATGCACAGACACACAGCCTGAGGGACCAAGGAGCTGTCACTGCCCCAGTCACCCGTCAGGAAGCGAGTTTGAGACCTTGTGCAACCCTGCCGGGGGAAATGCGAGCTCATCCCCACCCAGAGTTCATGATCTTTAGCATTCCTGCCTGGGGTAATGCTTTTTGGTGGCTTCCTTTCTTCCTACAGCCAGCTATTTGCATGCAGCATATTTATTTTACCTTTCTTTCTTTTTTTCTTCACTTGCATTAGCAAAAAATAAAAGAAATAAAAATGCCTCTGTATTTGTGTGAGCTTTTGTGGCATCTACCCTATACTCCTGTCTCTAAGGCTGCTTCCGTAGGTAGCTGGCTCCCCACCTTTGGAAAATGCCCCATCTCTCCCCAGTCTGGATACAACCTCTCTCTTTCACAGCTCCTACCTGCACCAGAAAGCTCCTTGTCAGGTCTCCTCCTGTTCTGCTCCCTCCACATCTTCTGGAACCTCTTCTCCAACCAGAGGTGCTGGCAGGGATGCTTTCCTCTTGCACCGTGTTGTCCCCTGTCTCCTGATCCCCCGCTTTCCTAAGTGTGTAATGCATCACTTTCTGTTCCAGCCAGTGTAGCGACATGTACCCTTGCCTTCAAACCGGTCTAAAAAAAGACCACCTCGGCCATCAAGCCACTGGGGCCCACTACAGATCCCTGGCAAGGTTTTGGTTCGGTTACATAGGCTTCCTGCATCCTCAAGCTAAAACCATGACATCATCACATTGAAATCCCAGTAATGCTTTGCAGAAGAGAATGGGGGGAGAAAAACCAAGAGGAGGGGGTGAGGAACCACCACTAGGCTGCAAAGCAAGGGGTGTTCCTCCACCGCTTCCCATTTTGATTGGCAGAAAGGAGCTCAGAAAAGGCCGGTTCCCCTGCCTCCACCTGCCTTGGGACCCGGAGGCAGAGCTCCAGCAGAGCAGAGCCGAGCTGTGCGCAGTCAGGCAGTGAAGGGGTAAAGCTCAGCTTGGACTGATCTTTCAGTAAGGCTGTGAGCAATACTGTATGACTGGCTGCAGCAGGAATACGGAGCACAAAGCTACATCATTATTTCCTTGCCCACTCAGCAGATCGCCTGTTGGACCTTTACAGAGCCTGCCTGGGTCAAAGCCCTGACCGCAGAAAAGATTCCTCGCCTCTGATTTTCCTTATTTTATTTTTTTTTCTCTCTCCCTGCAAGAGGACAGAGCTTTCATTCAGCCAAAATCCCGTCTTCCCCCCGAACGCCGGTTTTCCTTGAGCAAATGGCGACTAAAATCGACAAAGAGGCATGCAGAGAAGCTTACAATCTGGTCAGGGATGACGGCTCGGATGTGAACTGGTAAGTTTTGACCCCCGGCTTGCTTAGACTCCTCGCGAGCTTTCTCTGAGCTCAGCCTAAAATAAAATTCAGCACCACCACACCCCTCTCTCTTATGGAGAAAGTGTGTGGACACCTGCAATAAATGATCGGAGCATTTTAATACGTGCTCCCCGGCAAACTTAAATATTGGGGAGAGGGTGATTGGTTATGAACATGGACACAGTACAATGCACCGATTTAGAGAGTCTGATAGAGTGCTACAAGTTAGTAATCCCTCTGATTTACTGCAATCCCTGCTTGTCTGTGAAATGTATTAACATTCCTGGTTAAAGCGCCGACCCCATTCAAACAGTCACATTTTACCATCTCCTCTTTCCCTTTCCCAAAGGGTGACTTTTAAATATGACGGGTCCACAATAGTCCCTGGAGACCAAGGAACAGACTATGAAGCTTTTACAAGGAAATGCACAGGTAAGGCTGGTCTAGTTGCTTGTGAATGTGAAAAGCAGTTTGATATGGCTTTGTGCCCATTACAAAGGGAGCAAAGAACTGGCATCAACTTGTGAACTTGTGTAAAGTGGACCGGGCTCTGATTGTTTCAGTGCACAGGGTCGAATTAGCACAAGGCACTCCCATAGCAGCTAAACTCTGGAATCAAGTCACTCCTTTGTTTCCTCCATAAACTTAAGTCTTGTGCAGAGGGGTTCCCCCCCCCCTTTCTTGTACAATGGATGAAGTAATTTTCAGTGCTTTCCCAGCATCTGGATAAACTGGGGCAAACTCTTTTATTAGCTCAGATCCTATTGTTAAAATCTGCAGTTCATTACAAGATTAACTCTTTAACTGGAGGGAGAAGATTCCCCCTACAAATCATTGTGGCCAAACTCTTTTTTTTTTTTTTTTACAAAACAGCATGCTTAAAACAATCAAAATGACCCTCCCTGGCTTTTCTGAGACAGGGACCTTCTCCAATACAGTCTCTGAATAGTGCCAAAGTAGCTCTGCAATTAAAATGAGCACAGCATTGGTTTGGAAACACAAAACCTCAGAACAAATAGAGTGAGATTTGCATGAACAAACAACCAGCCTTGAAAACAATTGGAACTGCATAATCCCAACAGTGGCAGTCCCGGGTTCAAACGTGGCAGCTGCACGTTCAGCTGTGTCAGTGCAGCGGGAGATTAAAGCAAGATGTCATGTAGAAAACCAGGAAATACTGAATGATGTCTGATTTTGCTGCTTGAAATGTTTATCAGAATCACTCCCCCCACCCAACTTTCAAAGTCTCCCATACGGGCTATTTCCCTCTCCTGGATCTAGGTCCTTCCCTTAAAGCATAAGGTAAGAGATGTGATGTATATATTGCTATTCGATTCAGTGCTAGCCTGAATTCATTTCAAAGCACTGCCCTGTAATTCTGGCAGGGCTTCCTTAGCTCATCCATCCTGATTTTTAGTCTGATTTTTAGTCTTCTGTCATACCTGTATTGTGGAGGCTGGACAATCTCCCTTTATGGGGTGAGGGAAATGGTAGTATAACAGTCCTTAGGACTTTCAGTGGGTATTGTGAAGGGGGTGGAGGGTCTTATCCAGCCAGAATTGGCCCAACCAGCCTTAGGCCTGCTGCCATTGTATTGAATTCAGTGGAGAAATTTCCATGGACTTAAGCAGGGGGAAAGAACAGGTTTCTAAATAAAATATAGGCGTCACCAGGGAAAAAATTGACTCTAGAGCTTGGAAAGTTTTAATATGCTTTATCAAGGAGTCTAAATGGCAGGGCTGTGGGATTGTATTGGCTTGCTATGGGTACCTCCTAAGAAGGAGTCCACAATTGTTCCCAAGCACTTTTCAAGGAAAATGTGTTTCCAAATCAGGCACTGATCTGGTTCAGTTCATGTATTTACCATGGATGTGTTGCAATTCCTGATCTGGGGACATACAGCTCTTTTGATCTCTGACCTTATAAGAATGAGGATGAGGCATCATCAGGCGGAAGGGGTATTTATTCTCAGATGTGCCAAAGGGCGTCAGCTGAAGTGAGGACACATCTGAGAATTTTTTCCCCAAAAGTGTTGAACTGATGGCTGACGGCACTGGGATTTCGGGGGCTCTGCACTTGTGAATCTCGTACTGATGCGGTTCAGGAAAGGGTCAGCTATGGAGCTACGGGTTGTTCAAGGGTGATTGATGGATAGCTGAGGGACCTTCATTATTTTTCCCCTTCTCCTGTGATTAGGGTGACTGAACAGCTTTCTCGGGCCTCTGAGTGTTATGGACAAACCTCTCCACGCTTAATATTTTCTGCAATGCATTTTTTAAGGGTAAATCTCTCGGGTTGTCTGACCTGACCCTTGCAGTTTTGTCTGGGGAGATTGTGACCGTTACCGTTGACTGGTTCTTACCTCTCTCCCCTTTGTCACAAGTAAATGGAGGCAAGAGGCTTTGGCAGAGCCAGGTGCTAATCCAGAGTTACCTATGTAAGAACCAATGCTGGAGACCTCTTAGGACCCTGACCCTGTCTCATGTTCTTGCCTGCGCTATGCGTGGCAGATCCATTTGCTAGGCAGGCACTTAGATGCACGCAGACAGACGAAGGCATTCACCCCATCTTCCCTCAATGAATTCCCCATGGCTGCACTGACCCTGCTAACTCTACAACATCTTCACAGCTTCAGATAAGAGGCATCACCAGGGTAGACCTTGGTCTTAGCAAAACACCCATTACAGCGGTGCCCTGTGTGCAGTTGCCCTCAAGGCTGTCCCTGAAGGGTTTTATCCCCAAATAAAAGCCGGCAAGAGGAGATCAACCCTTGACAGTACCACCTCTCTGAAGTGCAAGTGCTGGAAGCTTTAAGACACCATGAGCAAGTTCAGAGGTACCAGCTCTTGGCTAAGTATCAGAAAGGAACTTCCTCCACCCACAAATTAACAAATGGTGCATGAGTTGGGGAAGGAAGATCTGCAAGTTTTAGTGACTCCATCTGTGCAAGCAGGCCGAGTCGGACCACTAGACATCAGTCAAAAAACAAGATTGGTGCCAGCTCTAAAGTTAGAGCTTCCCATCCCATCTGGAAGCAAGGTGGCAACTGTTACTAGAGAAGGAAGCTGATGAAATACACACACACACTCAGTGAAAAAATCAACGATAAACATTTCCCCTGCCTTCCGGCCTGCAGTAAGAGTCGCTGCCCAAGACCACAGCTGATAGATGTGGCTTAAAGGGGGAAAAAAAGTGCATTGGGCTTCAGCGTAAACTTCCTTGTTTTGAATTGCTGTTGCCCGAAAAATACCAGCTCCAGAGCCACAAAATACTGCAGCTGCCTTTTGTGGAGCCACGAGTGAGTCAGTTGTTGAAGGTGAGAGTGGGAGCTGCAATACAAAACCTCAGCTTGCCGTGTAGGCTGAGGCGCCTCAGTGCAAGTTTGCCGTGCTCCACTTACCAACCCATCTGTTCCAACTCCGCTCAAGTGTAAAGCATCTGCGGCTCCTGCTTTCTTTAATAGCTGTTCTTATTAAAAGCACCTTCGGCGTGCTGTACATATTGCTTTCCTCCTGGGTGTTAAATGATAGGGCAGGCGGAGTCAGGACATGCTAATTCCTTTGACTCGCAGACACCGGAAGTGCAGTGCGTTTGCTGGGGGCCGTACGGGTTGCTTGCCTTTTGCACCTTCTGCCTTGCACATAGCACAGACTGCATCAAAATGAGTGGCTGTTTTTTCATGGAGACCATCATTTTCCTTCACAATGAGGTTGAGCCATGTGCCTGCCCAGTGGGTATCCCACAATCTTTGTCCAGTTGCCTACATGGGGAGAATTAGGACAGTCAGCACTGTAGTTTTGGCTTCCTTTCATGTGGCTTAACATCTAGAGGACAGACCCTGTGACCAGCCAGCTCTCTGCAGACCTCCAGAAAACTCCCTCCACCCATACTTGAAGATTATAAATTCCCCAGATACTACAGATGCCTGCCTGCCTACATCTGCATACAATATCATGCAAACTTTGATACTTCTCCCGCTCCATTGTTCTGGGATGCTGCAGATCCATGGGCGCAATTTTTGAATAGGAAGAAAATGTGGGGAACAAATCATTCTTCCCTCACCAGTGGGATTCACCAGTACCTTGATTCTATATTAACCAAGAATTTAATTCAAGGCGTTTGAGCCATTTCATTTTTGCAAACACAGCTCCTGCCTGGGTAGATGGCATGGGTCCAGGCATAGCATTAATTTGGCATTTAACAGTTCGTGCCATCGATACGCTTTTAGACAAAAAGCTGAATTGCTCAATGCAGAGCCAGAAACCCTGGTAAAAGTTTGAAGGTTGTTCTGTAGGAGGGTAGGCAGAACCATGTTTTTATTTGAAAGGCAAAATTGGGCTGGTGAATAGACTGCCGAGAAGGGAAGTGATGCCCAGTTTGGATTCTGAACTAAAACAACATCAGTCAGAAACATACATTTAAGGTTTAGTACGTGTCGCAATGACATCGGACTCCAGCTGAGAGCCGACTTCAGTTTGTTTTGGCCTCTCGGGATTATTATTAAAGAAACACAGCGTGGCCTAGCCTTGATACGCAGTTAGTTTTAATTTATGGTTGGGTGCAAGGCAATTAAGTATAGGCTGGGAGATCTTGTGTCCCCCACTTGTAAATGTTAGTTTCTCTCTATGGCTCTGACAAAAGGATTGCTTGGGCTGGAAAGACCCAGTACCAATAAAAAATTGCTATGACAGCATGAAATGGAATAGCTATTCATGTGTCTGTAAAGATCAGGCCAGTGGCAAGTGCAGTCGGTACACAGAGAAGGAGAACCTGTGGTGTGAAGTAAATGCTGTTTAAAGCATTGGAGGTGGATATCAGTACTGGGAATAAACTTTTGAGAGGTAGTTCAGGCACCCTTGAGCTTGTAACCTCTTTCATAGACAGGAGGGTTATAATCAGTAAGTCTAGAATTTGGGAGAGAAGGATCTGGGGCCAAATCTCTGAAGGTATTTTTGTATCTAAAGATGTAGGCACGTGTCTGGGATTTACAAAAGCACTTGAGCAGGCTCATGAGTTAAATGTCGAAGTTATGCTTTATCACTCTGCATCTGCCTGCAGAATTAGGTGCAACAATACCTATTCCTTACTGCTTTTTCCCCCCTGTAAGTTCACTTAAGTTTTGTTTTCTCTCAAAATTTAAGGGACAAACCCATGAAAACCGACGACCCATCCTTATGGCAATTTTGTGTGTGTGTGTGTGTACGTTTTGTGTTCACACTGTGTTCCCATCTGCAGAGCCTCCCGCCCTTCCCTGGCTGTGTGTGTACCTCCTTAGAGGATCAGATAAAAGTGGCATCTGTTTGACTGCCATTTCCCTATGGCCATCTGGGGCCCAGACGTTCAGTGATGTATTTGTAGGGTACTTCCCTGCGAGTTCTAGTGGCAGCAGCATCAGGTAAACTTCATCTGAAAGGGCAACCACATTTGATTGT